GGAATCAAAAGGGGAGAGAGCAATCTAGCCAGTAATCAATTCCCTATATGCTCTCCATAGTCTGGAACACTCAGAGAGGTTCACGGAGTTCCATAGAGAAGAGAAGAGTGGGGAGGGAGATAGAGTTGACTAGGAGGAGAAGAGGGGGAGTCAAAAGGAGAAAGACAGATCTAGCCACTAATCAGTTCCCTAAGTGTTCTCCACAGTCTGGAACACCCAAAGAGATCCACAGAGGTAAGTAGAGAAGAGAAGGCAGAGGGAGGAGATAGAGGTGACCTGGGGGAGAAAAAGGAGAGTCAGAAGGGGGAGAGAGCAATCAAGCCAGTAATCACACTCCTAAGTAAAAATGGGTACTGAAGATTGGATTCTTAAAGGTACAAAATTGGTAACAAAACCCAAAAAGCAGCAATTAAAAATCAAGAGTAGAGGTTAGACTCTCAAAAATACAATATTAAAGAAACAAAACAAAATCACAAAAGTTATAAAAAATATAATTATGAAATTTGCTTTAAAAATAGGGTCTTTTTTTGCAAGGTAATAGTAGGTTATAAAAATGAAAATTAAAGGATTGTAGAGAACTTAAAAATAAAAATTTTTTTAATTTAAAATGATAATAGTAAAATATATCTAGGAATTTCTTTGAAGCTGTTGAGAGCAGTGTGGGGTCTGTTCAGTTTCAGATAGTTCCTTGTTCCAGCTTACACTTCTTCTCAAGGCCTATAGGCCCCTTGCAATGTAGTCAGTACTAACTACAAAGTTTTAATCTGTTGCACCTGTCACTTCCAAAGTGGCTCACTCTTCTTTGTTTATTTTGGCTTCTTCTGTTTGCAAGTCTCTTCAGTGTCTAATTTCCACCCTGACACAAGGGGGAAAAGGTGGTCACTTATTTAGGCTCACTTGTTCAGTTGTGCCTGGGGAGGGAGGAACACCACAAACAAATATCACTGGCGTGTGTGGGGAGTTCTCGCAGTGTCTGAGCCACTCTGGGTTTTCCCCTGCCCACAGTGTGTGTGCTTTCCCGGTCTACACTGCTCAGGCTCCAGGTTTCTCTGCAGGAGAACTGTCTAAGGCAGGCCCTGGGTTGCGTGCACTTCCCTGGCCTAAGCCACTCAGGTTCAGGTTCTCGGGTACTCCACAAAGGCACAGACAGGGACGGGCCTGCGTTTTGTGCCCTTCCCAGGTCTGAGCAGCTCAGGCGAACAGGTGCTTGGCAAGCACGCTCTCCCAGTTGAGTGGTGGTCTTATCACCTCCCCAGTTCCAGACCCTCGGTTTCCTGGGTGCGCCATCTCAGGTGTGCCGTCTGTCTCCTCTGGGGACCTGATCTCTGACTGTGACCCTCCTGGAGGATGTCGACCATCCAGGATCCCAGGAAGACTTGGTTAGTAACTGGAAGCCTGCTCACAGTTTAGTGGAGGATGCCGGCTCTGGGACCGAGATTGCCCCTTGACTTCCGGTTCTGACTGCCACCCGCCTGCCTCTCTGCCTCCAGCGGGGGGATGGGCCAGTCCGCAGCCGGCTAGCTCTCCTCTGGTATTCGCTCAGTCCTTTGTTCTGTGAGCAGGCCCAGCATTGCCTTAGGTTAGAGCTTTTCACGGGAAAGTTCTCTCTCTCTCTTTTTTCTCATTGGCTATCCCACAGTTTGGGTTTCTATCTCAAGTCAGCTCCCTCAGATTGTCCTCAGGGCATTCTGGCCCAGTCCTTACACTAAGCATGCAGCCCGCGCCTCCCTGTTCAGCCCCCCTCACAGATGGCAGATGCAAGCGTTCGGGCTACTTCTCTGCTGGGAGTTGCAGTTAGGTGTGTAGTTTGTGGAAGTTTTTTTTTTTTTTCCTCCCAATTATGTTGCCCTCTGAGATTCCAAAACTCCTCACAGACCCGCCGGTGAGAGGGTTTCTTGGTGTTTGGAAACTTCTCCTCTTTCATGACTCCCTCCCCTGGATGGGTCTCTGTCTCTAACTCTTTTGTCTCTCTTTTTATCTTTTATATTTTGTCCTACTTCCTTTCAAAGAGAATGTGCTGCCTTTCTAGTTGCCTGGTGTCCTCTGCCAGCATTCAGAAGTTGTTTTGTGGAATTTGCTCAGCGTTCAAATGATATTTCGATGAATTTGTGGGGGAGAAAGTGGTCTCCCTGTCCTATTCCTCCACCATCTTAGGACTGCCCGCCACCCCACCTTAAAGATTTTGATGTTGAGAGGCTGGAAATACATATTGTGACTCCTCTCTCCTCCTCTTATTCTCTCTAAATATCTGTGATTTCTTTTATCTCTGCAAATCTTTAACACAGACATATTTTCTCATATGTTTCTCATTATCTCTTTTTTTTTTTCCTTTCATATGTTCTAAGCTTAGTGAACTCCCAACGCTAGAATTGTAGTCACCAACACCACAAGTTTAGCTTGTGCATGTGTGCTGAGACACTTTAGTACTGTCAGACTCTTTTTGACACTGTGGACTATAACACACGAGGCTCCCCCATTCGTGGGATTCTCTAGGCACAAATACTGGAGTGGGTTGCCATGCCCTCCTCCAGGGGGTCTTTCCAACCCAGGGATTGAACCTGAGTCTCCTACATTGCAGGCAGTTTGTTTATCAACTGAGCCACCAGGGAAGCACAGAAATTTAGTTTATACAAAGACAAATGATTGTATGCAATCTTGAAACATTATTGTATGTTTCAAACAAAAAGGTGTTGTATGTTTAGGGTTATTGTGACCAGCATTTATTTACTATATTGTTACAAGAAAATTAAAGATTTCTCCTCTTTCTTGTTGCTCAGTCAGTCAGTTATGTCTGACTCTTTGCCTCCCCATGGGCTGCAGCACGCCAGTCTTTCCTATTCTTCACCAACTCCCGGAGTTTGCTCAAACTCATGTCCATTGAGTTGATGATCCCATCCAACCATCTCATCCTCTGTTGTCCCCTTCTCGTCCTGCCTTCAATCTTTCCCAGCATCAGGGTCTTTTCTAATGAGTCAGCTCTTTGCATCAGGTGGCCAAAGTACTGGAGTTTCAGCTTCAGTATCAGTCCTTCCAATGAATATTCAGGATTGATTTCCTTTAGGATTGACTGGTTTGATCTCCTTGCAGTCCAAGGGACTCTCAAGAGTCTTCCCCAACACCACAGTTCAAAAGCATCAATTCTTCATTGCTTGGTCTTCTTTATGGTCCAACTCTCACATCCAAACATGACTACTGGAAAACCATAGCTTTGACTAGATGGACCTTTGTCAGCAAAGTAATGTCTCTGCTTTTTATGTTGTCTGGATTTGTCATAACTTTTCTTCCAAGGATCAAGCATCTTAATTTCATGGCTGAAGTCACCATCTGCACTGATTTTGGAGCCCAAGAAAATAACTCTGTCACTGTTTCCATTGTTTCCCCATCTATTTGCCATGAAGTGATGGGACCAGATGCCATTCTCTTAGTTTTCTGAATATTGAGCTTTAAGCCAGATTTTTCACTCTCCTCTTTCACTTTCATCAAGAAGCTCTTTAGTTCCTCTTCATTGTGTGCCATAAGGGTGGTGTCATATGCATATATAATGTTATTTATATTTCTCTTTATATTTATAAAATAAATTATTTTGGTACAATTATATGAAATAATCGATTTCTATACATTCTAATAACTGGCTTTATATTTGACATAGGCTGTGAGGATTCCAAGATAGAGAGGGAATCTTGGGGTCAAGATGTTTTCTGTCTGACCAGGAAAAGGGTATGTAATGTGAGTAACATCTGCACAAGGAAGTTGCCAGCAATTTATCGAGGTCTATAGTTCTTTCTTAAACTTATAGTATCTTCTTATCTCCTCCAGGGAGCTCAGATATTATCTATTTTTAATGTATGTATTTATTTTTAATGTCTGGTTCTTATTCTCTGCTTGATCTAGTCACTGTTTTACAGAAGCCAACATAAAAATTTCTGGAAGCACTGAAAAATGGGTTCAGCTGATGTGTCAGAGAGTGTTTGGGCTTCAGGTCATCCCTGGATTCTGCTCAAAAGTGACTGAGATGTGAAGTTCACTCCTATGAGCCCAGTGCTTCCTTAAAGCAGAAAATCACCATTCTCATTTACTCATGAAGGCAGCGTATTTCTCTTTTATAAGATAAGGAAAGGCAAAAAAATACTTTATCCATCCCTTATGTTTTTCGTGTTCTGAACCTTTCATCTGAGTTAATGGGAGATGAAAAGAAATGGTTACAGAGAATTTAGTTGACTTTAGAAATGGGTTTAAGTCATTCAATTTGATGTTTTTTTTTTTACAATGCATTGATTATTCCTTTCATATAATTATAAGAACCTTTAAATTCCTGAAATCATGGACTATGTAAGATAAAGCATTAAATTTGAGAATTCTGTTTATAGTTTCCATTTTTTTTTTCAGATACACCTCCTTACCCGAGATGAATAATTGGAGAAAATTATTTCCTTTACAATCTTGGTATACCATACAAATTCTCATTCAAAGGCAACAGCATCAACTAAAACTTAAGGGACTAGAATCTGTGGTTTGTTCCCAGATTCTTCCCATGTTTTCCACTCCCCATTTCTCAGTGAACTAGGCATTCTCATAGGGTCAAAGCAGGAAAAACCTCCCATGTATTCAGTGGAAAAAATTATTAAACCTTCAGAGGAGCTGTGCCTTTTTAGGAAAACATTTTTTGAGTACAAGAGTGAGTGTTGAGTGAAGATCCTGGAGGAGATGAAGAGCTTAGAGGGCAGAGAAAGCCTGGGCAAGCATTGCAGTGGATTTATTGTCTTACTTTGTCCAGTTCATCTACGGGTGAGCAGGATACAGCACATAGCTTACATCTCAACACAAAAGATCTTTATTTCATGATGTTCAAGTTGACCCCTCCCACCCTTGCCTTGGTTCTGTCCACACCGCTGCCCCCACCTGGAAATTTGCATGTTGTTCCCCAAGGAGGACCTTCCCATCCAAGTCTGAGATAAAAGCTCAGCTCTGGTCTTGCTCTGACTTATCAGGACTCCTCTGTCCACACTTTTGAACATGAGGTTTCCTGCTCAGTTCCTGGGGCTTCTCCTGCTCTGGGTCCCAGGTAAGGATGGAGAGGGAATGAGAAAGAGGATGGCGGGTGAGCTCTAGGGCAGCACTGCTCTCCACGTGTGTTCTCTGCATGTTAGATGTGTATGACTTGTCCTGCAGATGGGCATGGGATGCTTAGATCTGTTAGTGAGGAAGGTTCCAGAAGGAAGAAAGTCCTGTGTTCTGGTCAGGTTGGTGACAGGGAGGTGGGGATGGCATGGATGATGTTTAGAGGTCTCTTTAAACTTTACAGATGTCAGATTAACTATTGTTATTGTACAATTTTGTTGTATGACTCAAAATCACAGAATATGAGAGTAAAACAAACTAGTACTATCATTTCAGCTAAAATAAATAAGAAAATGCAAACAATGAAAATGGTTGCTTTCCTAAATAGTTGCTTTGTAACTTTATAATTCTCTGTTTCTTTTAGGATCCAGTGGAGATGTTGTGCTGACCCAGACTCCACTCTCCCTGTCTGTCATCCCTGGAGAGACAGCCTCCATCTCCTGCAAGTCAAGTCAGAGCCTCCTGAGTAGTGATGGAAATACCTATTTGTACTGGCTTCAACATAAACCAGGCCAGTCTCCAGAGCGACTTATCTATCAGGTTTTCAAACATGACCCTGGGGTCTCAGACAGGTTCACTGGCAGTGGATCAGAGACAGATTTCACACTTAGAATCAGCAGTGTGCAGGCTGAGGATGCTGGAGTCTATTACTGTTTTCAAGCTACACATAACCCTACCACAGTGATACAGCCCTGAACACAAACCTCCTTCCCTGGGTGGCTCAGCTGGTCAAAGTACAGCTTTTCTGGGGAACTGACAGCAGATACTTAGTCTGTGTAAGAGGAAGATGGTGGAGATCTCAGAGGAATAGGTTGCAGTGAGGGTTCTGGACCATGAAGGTCTTGTCTGCATCTCAGACACCATGTGTTTGGCAGGATTAAGTGGTTCTCTGAATACATGCCTATTGTTATCTATGACTTTCTTCACAAAATAAGTTCCTTTATCCAGTGTCCTCTCTTATGGGCAAACCATAGGATCTGTGAATCTATAGACAGTAATACTGGCTGAGGCTAGAAGAGCAGGGAAGGATAAGCTCTACACAGATTACAGCTAATCCCAGGAATGATGCATCACAACTCCTCAAGGAGGAAGTGATATGGAGACAAAGTACCACCATGTGGCTGCTGGTATTGATCCCTAAAGCTGAGAACATTGATAGGTGACAGTTTTGGATCTGCACTGATAGGGGTGGCAGACAAAATGGATATGGTGGAGGTGGTGTACATGGTGGACGTGGGCTCATGTTGGATGTTTGCACAGCCTCTATCCATGTCACCTGGGCCTCTGTATTCATGGACACTAATACAGAGCAAATACTGTGATAGTTATGACACATTCTGGGGCCAATGACTGAGCTGCCTGAGATGGAAGAACTCATCTGCTCGGAGATGTAAGAACCTTTCAATGCTTTGCTATTAGGTGTCAGGTCTGTGGTAGCTGCTCTGTAGAATATTGATTTAGCATGAGTTTCAATTACATCATGCCCACGTCCTTGGGTTTATCTACATTCCTTTTCCCCATACTGCTAATCTCAGATCTGCCAATCTTCTCTTTGATCAACCAGCTACCCTGAAATTGCTGTAAACTCTTATCTTGGGCCACTTTTCTGTCCAGTTTAAGATGATATCTATGTTCACTGTTGAAATACCTGCTGGCTTAACATTTTGTTTCACACCTGCCATTAATTGGGTTGTAGTGTGGAACTTACACATCTTTACTAAAACCAACACATGATGTCAACTGAGCCATGGAGAAAGCCTGGAGACTTCTCACTTTGTTTTCCCATGTGGAATTAGCTGGTTCACCATTCCCATAAAGCCCAAATATAAGGTGATATGGGAACCTGAGATATCTGTCCATGGAGATGAAGTACAACTGCTGAATTTGCTTATACCCAATCCTATAAGAACCACCTCCAGCCTAGGACAGATTGCCACTGAGACCCATCAATACTGAGAATCTGTTGGATCTGAAATTCAAAGGTTACAACAGACAGTTCAATCACATAGCTGCTTATTGTTTTATAGACTAGTGTATAGAGGTTCCTGACATTCTGGGAGCTGATTTTTTATCAATGCTAGTGTTTTTGTTTGTTTTTGATCACAGCATAGTTTTTCACTAGAACCCTAGAAATCCCTGATGTGACTTTATATCAGCAATTTTCAGACTGTGCACACAGCATCATTGTCTAACACAGATGCAGCCTCACCACGTGATGTAGTCCAAGTGTTGGGGCCACTCACAGTGCTGCCTGAGCCTGAGGCAGAGTCCTCTTCTGCCCTGCACCCATGTGATGGAGCAGCACTCACAGCAGTGGATGGATGGGATGGAGTGATGTACTCAGTGGGGTCATGTGTTGTCTCAACACTCCACAGAAGCATCAAAAATACTGTATTTCACTGTTAGTGGTCCTAGGAACAAGATACACCTTCCTGATCTCTACAAGTGAGAGAGTCAATTACTAGGCAGGTTGATGAGAAGTCTGGGGGTCCCCAAGGAGGGGGGGGTCTGGAATTCTCAAGGAGGAGGAAAAGACAAACTTTTTTCCCTCTACATTCCTTAGGATTATATAACAATAATGTATCCTGCTTGAGGACAGTTTCTGGAAAAAACCTTCTGGCTAATCCTGTGATTAGAGAAAATGTAAATTATGGGAGTGGGCCAGTAAGGTCTTTACAACCTCCAGACATTCTTTTGATTCACCGTAATAACTAATTAAAAGTATATAACTCCATTGCTAACATTAGTAGGGGGGTACTCTTTCTGCCCCCTTCTGATATCTCTATCAGAAGCTTTCTCTATCTCTTTTATACTTAATAAAACTTTATTACATAAAAGCTCTGAGTGATCAAACCTCATCTCTGACCCCAGATTGAATTCGTCTCCTCCAGAGGCCAAGAATCCCAGCATCTTTCGTGGTTTAACAACAACGTTTCAAAAGAATAAGCCAGCATGCCTTAGACTTGGGGACCCCCAACATAGTAATGTGGCAGGCTTATGAATTTTGGAAAGACTTGCATTTCACCTTGTGGAAGACGTAAATATTTGCAAGTCAACCTGAGTCCTAGCAATTTCTTGCTGGTCAGGTCTACTTAATGAATTGTTCAATAAGGCTTGTGTAGTGGAATTCAGTGTAGAATGTCCAGATCATCAAGGTTTCCTCAGCCTACACTGTGACAGTTAACAACATGATGGGCCAGTACTGGAGATGTGATCAATTTTAGGAGCATCGTAGGTGAATATAAACTATACCAGGGGTGTCTTAGATTGTATGCCTTCACTCTGCTGCTTTGCCACGCATACAATCAAGGACAAAACTCTTTCAAGGTATTATGTCACAAACTGCCTCTAGATGGCAGACAAACACCACAATAAACAAGTTCTTGACCAGATCTAGGAAATACTGAGAAAGTTAACAATGATACTGTCCCATTTTCAACATGAAGCCCTCAAGGCTTAAATGGGTTCAGGTGTGACCTGGGGAAGGGCTGCAGCTGTGCTGAGTGGTGCAGAAACCCTCCGTGTGTCCTGTGTACACTGGCTGGAAGGGTGACCTTGCCCCCACCCCACTGAGACTGCTGTGTCCTCAGAGCCCATCTCTACCCTCTTCTGGGCAGGATCAATCTCAGGAGACCATATTTCCAGAGCTGCTGAAGCTGACCTTGTTGGCTGAAGATTTGAAACTGGACTTCATGGACATCCTCAGGTACCGTTTAATTACAGCCTACTTGTAAACGTGACTTTGGAGTCTGTCCTTCCCATCTAATTTCAATCCACGTGAAGATAAAAATGTGTCAAAAACTCTGGCCACAGCCATAGCAGCCTCCCCCTTCTGCTCAGTCCCCACTTCCGCCCTGCTGTGCATGGAGCCTGCATGTGCTTGGTACACGAGCAACTGTGTGAAGCCTTCCTGAGGTCTAAGCTCTGGACTTTTCTGGTCATTTGAACTTAAAATTTTAATGTTTTCATTCTTTGAACTTGAATCAATATAAATGAGTAGAAAGTTGAAAATAACATATTTCACCTCAAAACCATCAAATAAACAGGAAATATTAAGGAATCATTGTTTAAAATAAATCAGGTTTTAAAACTGGATAAAATAACAATTGTAGGCCTCAGATTGTCTAACTCAGCACAATTCTGGCATGAAAGTTCATAATTTCATAAAAATTTGCAAAGGTTTAAATTGAAATCATTAAAACCCTTAACTTGAAACATAAATTAAATCTATAAATAATCTTTGCAATGAAACTTTCAATATTATTTTGTTCAGGAATGGGAGCAGAAGAAAAAAAGGATGAGAAAACAAACACACTCAACCTTCACATTCACACACTCAAACACAGTCTCTCAAGCATTATTTAACAAATACTGATGAATTTGGTAACAGAAATGGTCGACATGTTGTATTAACATACATTTCAAAATCCCTTCCATATTCTACATTATAAGATTTTCATCATCTGTAGAGACCGAGTACTGCTTTCATGGGAATTTTAGAAAACAATTCCTAGGGAATAAAAGGTACTAAACTCTATCAAGTAACACTTTTCTGATCTAACAGTGGTCTATGTGACAGCTGATCCCCGAGTCCTCAAGGACACAGAAAACACAAAAATCAGTGTGAGCAGACTGGCTTCCCACTGTGTGTTGTAGACACAGCTTCTCTGTCTTTGCAGCCACAACAGGAGGGTTTGGGGACCCCCTGGTCTTGTGACACTGGTGGCAGAGGTGGTTTCATCTTCATGCACCATTTCCTCCAGCCTGTCCCCTCTGCAGCTCACAGCAACTCCAGGGGATGTGGCCTCGGTCTTCATCCTACTTTGGAGAGCACTGATCCTCCTGGATTTGGGCTGATCCTGGCTTTTGAGTTCATCCTGGTCAGACTCCAACCCCAGGGACATTCTTTCTAACTGGAGGAAGAATCAGTGACTGTTGGTGAGATAACCAGGACTGGAGTCACTGGATATATGAATGGCTTCCCCAACTACTTCCAACTCAACACCCTGCTCTGGTCCAGCAGTGGCTCCACCCCCAGGACAGACACCCACCACTCTCGCTGCAACATCCCATCCTGGGTTCCCGTCGTGCCTGTATCCATGCCTTGTCCACACTGTGTGGCTCCAGTCTCACGTGCAAGGCTTCTATCTTCACCTTCCCCCAAGGTTGTCTTCCTCCCGTTTCTTGAGCCCCATCACCCTGCACCTGCCCTGAGAACTGCCAGCTCTTAGGACGTGGGGGTGGGGGAAACATGCAGAGCTGGAAACAAATGGATTCGGGGACATAAAATCTATCATTGGTCGGGAGAGGATCATAGCTTCTGAAGGGAGTAGCTTGGGTTAGAGGGAAAGAAAGACATGAACAGTCATGAAGGTTAGGACACGCATAGCATGGATGTGTATACAGGCATGCGGAGTTAGAACATAGCTGGAAATTGTCAGGTGTGGAGGGACTAAGTCCCTGCCTTGGTGGCCTTGGAGGACATGTTGGGACAGAGCAGTCAGCATGGAGGTCACAGTGCTCAGCTGGGATGACAGGGAGCAATAGAGAAGCTTAGGATCTGGGCACTTACTGACCAATCATGACCCACACATTTTACTGTTCTTCCTCATTTCCTCTCTGACTGGTGGTGATGAAAATTTCTCCCACCAAGAATATCAGGGAATCCAGCAAGATGGAGTCTCTTGACTCCAATA